GACCTTCAAGTTGTGGGAAATGTTATTTACATAACAACAAGCCTTTATAAACTTGATATACTACAATATTATCAAGATAATATAATATTCCATTTGATGCAGCTAGAACAGAATCCATTAATATGTCAAAAGTTGCTCTAACATTGCACAGTCCACAGAAGAGAACAACAAACTAATAATTCTTTACCTTGTGTCTCCTCTTAAATTTCTTCTTTTTTTTTACATCTTCTTCACTGTATGAATTTGAAAAACTTTTGTTGAGACATTTCTTAGTGGAATATAAGTATATTTCATCATAAAACCATCATCATATTGTAAGTTCAGAACTGCTCAATACTGACAGTTATCCCTCACTTGTTCTCAATGTTTTCATATTCTCTTTAGTTTCTTTCTTTTAGGTAATAAATAAACCTGAGACACTGATGAACTGATCTTCAATTTTCAATGTCACTTATGATATTAGCACTTTATTTCATGCAGGAAAAATAGCTGTTGTCATATAGATACAAGAGATTAATCCTCAGATGTGAAAGTTAAACCTGATTTATTGGGACTTTTTGTATCATAAAAACTTTTTGAGGACAATTTCAGTATTAGTTGTTTTTTTCAAGATGTACTTTTCTTGCATGTCTGTCATACATTTGTCACATTCCATTGACAAATTATCAATAATATGATTAATCTTCCCAGAAATGTACATAAAACCTTATCACTGCAAGCAGTTTGTATCAGTCCATGCTTGTATCTCATCATTAAAGGTGTACTATAGCTTTGGAGATAACTTTTGACCATATCAGACTGGTGTATTTACGTGTTTTACACCCACAAAAATAATACAAGCTGTCCAGTGTCGGCTAACAATACGAAGAATTAAATTGTGGCAGATTGCTAAAAGAAAGGGCAGATACAATTGCATAATCTCCCAGCTTTCCTGGTAGGTTGCTCATCAGAATTATTGCTAATTGTTTGAGGTAGGTGGAAACATGTGTGGTAACTCTCTGTTTACCATTTCACTTACCGTGAACTACAGTGTAACTTAATGATAGGTTTTTTCCATGTTACTTTCTCATAGTAATCATAATATGTTGTTCTCTTATGAGTTTGAAAGTGTATGTGTTTGTATGATTCTTGTAGTTCCTTTGGTAGCTACAGTTATGAAAGATTTCATTGGATATGCCCATATAATAAATATATATATATATATATATATATATATATATACACAGTGAGGCAGGAGTAATTCTTATGGGGACCAAAACAACAATAAAATTTCCTTAAATTTTTAAAATTTTTTAAATTTTACTTATTTAACTAAAAAATAAAAAGTTAAAGTAAGTACTAACTTAATTAATTTTAATAAGTAAAATAAC